GTCGACGCGGGGATGTCCGAGCGGTTGCCTACTTCGCCGGCGCTTGGCACGGGAACCGTGACAGTTCCCCCCTTCTCAAACAAAAAAAGGTCTGGCAAGTCCTTTTTTTGAAAACCAGTTAAAACTGCCCTTCACTTGACGTCGTAGAACAATACGAAGCCTCAGAGGAACTCGATGTCAAGATTGATGAACCATCAGACTCTTCCGCAGACTCTTCATAACTGGGATCAGTTTCTATCTTCTGCAATGTAAGCAAAGGGCACAGCAGAAGGACATCGGCGTGCATGGAGTTGAGTTCGAGAGCGAACGCCTGGAACTTCTTAATGAAAGGCAGACCACGTCGGAGACGAAGCGAAGTGTGGACGAAGAGCGTGGCCAACCGGTCAGCGTCGACTGGGGTGTCTTCTGTCCAGTAGCTCTTTAACTCTTCAACTTCTTTGCGAATTTCACGCAGTTTCTGCCTGAGTGCCCGTCTTTCCATGCAGGGGTCCAATTCCCCAATAAGAGCAGGGAAGACTGCATCACCCTTGAAGAGTTGCAACGACTGAACCTTATCCGAAATATCATCACCAACAATTAAATCACGGATAAACAGTTCATACTCCAACTCCTCTTGATTCAGAAATTCTGGCTTCATAAGTTCAACACCTATACCAGGTTCAGCAGAGAATGCCATACTGACACTCAACAATCAATAACGTACCACACAAAATAATATGAAAATTAGTCACAATACACTTAACTCACTAGATGAACTGTCACTGCCTTCCCTACATGCCACCATGGCAACTTTCACGATGATCTTCAGTGTTGACTTGAAGAGAAAAATACACTTAATTTTAAATAACAATAAGCACTGCAGCAATATAATAGAAAACAAGAAAGTTATACAAAACAAAGGACAGAGGCTGTTCTTGAAATCCCAGCATGTCCTGTCACGGTCGCCATTTGTCACAAGTCACGTTCAGGTGGATTTTCTTCATTTGAAAAAGGTATAAGAGTTTGCAGGTACTCGCTGGGACCACCAGTGAAATGGACAAAATAATTTTAAGTGAAAGGAAAAGAGTGGCTGCTGCAGTGCAATAATATGAACATTTATTGTTCTTAGACAACATTAATTCATATTAAATAATCACTATACATGAGACAAAGAATCTTGCAGTAAAACAATACCCCAACAGGAAATGACAATTAAACCGAACTTCAAACACTTTTAGCAACGCATAACAGCGACTAAGCTAGGGAATGAAACATTGAGATTTGAGCACTCTATACATCATACAAGCGATGCTGTGGTAATTAAAGAGTTATTGAGAAACAATTAGAACGGCCACTCGACCAAAACTAAATCATTTAAATCTCACAGAGAAACAACAACAACACAATACCTAGTGCATCTACAATGAGAACGGAAGTCAAACTTTGTTAAACCTCTATACAAGCAGAGAATATGTTTAGTTGATAACACATTTAACAAATGTACAACGTAAACAAGGGCAAAGTTCCTGATAAATTACCTTCATACAATCGAAGCATTAACACGGGGATAACTGCAAGATACATACACTACCTGGGCCCAGATCAGACAAACATAAGTGGATACATACAATTACAATTATAATACACTACACACACAAGACACACTGGAGAACAGCACGCCCACTGGGTCCTGGATCCCAGAGAGGAACGTGCACTAGCACAGGCTCGCCGGCCATGCTGCAGCGGTGGACGAGCTTGACCATGTCGAGGGTGCCGTTGGTGAACACGCACGGGAAGGCAGGCAGGGTGCACTCAGCACATGTGGACGAGCATCGCTCGTTCAGGCAAAAGTGTGCGCCCAAACAAAACACCCT